AGCCGGTAAACGAGCAGACGGATCACCTGATGGTATGCACTCGCAGTCGCCCATAGACACTCGAAATATCAAGGCGTTACAAGTGCGTTACAGGCGTTTTAGGAATTGGGAATTTGAGGATTGTGAAGGATTCGGGGATTCGGGACCTGCTGAGAAATGACTTATCCACGTGTAACTGTAAATGTATGACACGATGAACGTTTCTATACCACCCTCCAAAGTATAGGCAGAGATATATAAAAGTCTCGGCCGAGTTTGCAGGTATAATTTATCCCGCTAAGGCTCGGCCAGCAGGAATCGGAACGGGGTGATTTTTAGTCAGTAAGACTCTGATACTCCTTCTCCTCACAGGGAAGGAGGTCATTCAGGAGTCATTCGACGATTTAACCCCTACAAAAAGAGATATTAACTTTTTGCTAGTTCTTAATAGTTGTTTAGTGTCACCCCATACTATTTGAGTAGCAACTTAACCATGACCGATACTCAGGTCGATGACACTGCCAACACAAGACAGAATTTCCGTTATTAATGATGAAACTGCATTCAGAATTTTCTGTTTAGTATTACCTAATTGCTTTGCATTTCAGTACAAAAGTATTTTTATTGTTCAACTGGATTTTGGTTTCCTTAATAGGGTAGTTTCGTAAATTTTATTTTAATGTCCTCCTGGTACATTAATTTAAAACTTTAGACACGTATTTTTTTCTTTTCTCACAAAATTAAATACTTTCAATATATTAATTTGAAATATCGTGTGACGTCACAGCGTGTCACATTTTGTAGCAGGTTATGACGTAACAACCTCCCTTACCTAAACTTATCGCCATTTTATCTAAGTATTCCAACTTAATATAAGAGAAAATAAAAAAATGCGTGTGTAATATTTTTTCATTATCTAACTGACGGACTAATTAGATTTTTAATTTTGATACCCTGAAAATTATCATATTTTCCTCACATTTCTTTTCTTATATACATGTTTACATAACGTAAGTACATAACGACACTCCATTTAATTCCTAAAGCTAGTTCCTTATATCAAAAGACGCCTGAATATATTAGTACTATAAATATAATATTCACCAGTTATGTTGTTAGTTATATAGATAATAGAGGGTTTTGCTTGAAATACCAATAATATTGCCTGACACGGCGATCGATCTGAGACCCTGGTGGACAGCAACTGCTCGAAGAGAATACTAATAAACGTTATATAATGAATACAAACAGATAATAATACAAAATCCTTGTAAAAATCAATTAAAAACTAAAAATAAGTATCAAAAAGAGTATCCTCGTTCAATGTCGTTATAGTAATATTGGTATCAAACAGAAGTATTTATTTAGAAGTTGGTCTAGAGAAGTACCTACGTCATTAAATGAAATTGTCCTGATCTGCAAATTTTTTAGGTTTTTAATCTTATTACTTTACAATAAAGTTGAAAATCGAAAAGGCAGTTTTATTTGTACATTCAAGAGCTAATGTTGACACCTTCTATTTATTTATTTGTTTAATGATACTTCAAGAATCTTCAACTAATCTAGGAACTAGTTTCATGGTTACAATTGAGGTTATAATTCAATTTAGATTAAACAAACAAAGAAAACCTTTAGTTTATTTACTTAAATAGAACATTGACTTGAGAATAACCTGTTAAATTATTCTCTTCCTAATTAAGAACTGTTTATGATAAAGATTTAGACTATAGCAATAAAATTTTATTTGTTCCTCATAGGAACAAAATACCTAAAGTGAAAAAAATATACACGCCTTCCGTTTTGCGCGAACAAAAAAATTAATGAAATCAACTTAACATACAAATTAACATATCACACAGGATTACATAATCGATAAAAACAATCGATTGTTAATGTTAATCGATATAAAATTATGAAATTTAATCGTTAAGGAGAAGGATTTTGAAAAGTCCCACTCACTGACATTGCCCTGTATCAGCCCACGGGCATTCACCTTCCATGTCAAATGCGGAAGTACAGTTACCAGCTCAATATCATCAAGGGCAAGTTCATATTGCAGTTTTATTTATACGAAAGTGAGACAAGTGATATAGATACTCGTATGTCGTAGACCGGGTGAACAATTGGTCAGATCGTAATATGTCTGGGTACATCTTAGTATGCAGTATGATAGCAGAAAAGAATAGCATCGCAAACATGCAATCGTACCTGCGACTTTCGGTCAAGGGGACTCGGGTTCGACTCCCGGGTCGGGCAAACTGGGTTTTTTTTTAATTCCCAGTAGTAGCACGGACCCTGGAATTGTGCTCGGTATATGGCAATAGGCGTACCCCCTATTACATGATACTCATAACATAAATAGTGAAAAGTGGATGTTAAATTGGCATTAAGTGCCGTAATGTGCACTGTGTCTGTCTACCGCTTCGGAGTTATAAGGTGTGATTATATTATGTAGAGAAGACTACATTTTGTCGTCACCCCTTTATAATCTTCCCGCGGGAGACGTAAGAGCTGGCTGAGGAAATACACATTTGAAAGACCGGAGACCTATTAAACTGTGATCTAAGAGCTACCTGCTGAGGGTGGCGAAGCCAACCCTTTTATGTAGAAGAAGCCCATAATACAGCAATGGATTGGATGGAGCTGTCAAGAGCAGTTAGTGATCTCTTGAAACAGTACCTTATTTTATGGTTTGACCATCTTCAACATCTTCGATATCATCATACGTTGGTACCTGTCCAATGTTGAACAAAGACCTTCCTTAAGAGGTTTGTGATAATCTTCTTGCTTGGCAGGAGGATCATAGGATCATAGTTAATGCTGTCCATCCCTCGGTGGCCAAACCCAGATATCAATATTTGTCTTCAAACTCCCTGGATTTTTTCATTCAGACTTTTAATAAAGTTTCCAGTCATATTGTGATCTGGCCTATCCAGTGATTGGTCCACAACATGTAGGTATGTATGTATAGTATAGTGATATGCCCTGACATTGCACTACCATTTATAATTAAGGTCGTGCTCTATATTTTTGCTGGTTTTCATTTTTTTTTGCTTTAGGGCTCGTCCTTCGATACAAATAAATCATTAGCTGATTTTTATTATTTTGTAATTAATAACTTTTATAAACTTAAACTGAAAGTTATTTTTTTCGACAATGAAGTTGAAATATTTTAATCATTCTATTGATTATATTTTTAAAGAATTAATTATTTTGAAAATAGACCACCATAATTTTGACATTAGATAAAAGTCATCGCGAGATGCTGGCTGGTAATTTCTAAACGTTATTAGGACTGTTTAATAGTTAACTACATAGTCCTCTGACCATGTTTAGTAATGAATGTCTAGTGGCTGATGCGACGATGATCAGTTGATATTCATGATTTATTAGATAAGGACAGTCATGATAAAACACCCATCCCTACAGGTCCCACAATGTCAGTTGAAAGCTAAGGGAACTGACAGACGTTATTATATTAGCTTTTGTTAATAAAACCGTCTCGTATTCTCTCGCTTATAAGATGACACAATGCAAGAATCCATGCAAAACGCAAGAATCCAAGTTCACACTTCAGCAATACCATACGTAAATATTTACAGCAGTGCGAGAACTTAGATTTTTTAATCTGTGGTTGGAAAAAATTTGGTGAACTTTTGTTAAAAAAAAAGAATGAGATTATAAAATAAACTCAATTATAATTGGTCCTTCTTTTTATAGCCCATTTTTCAATAATCAGTTAATTCTCAACTGTAGAATAAAATTGACATTTGACAGTTATTAGTATGGAAGAATTGTCAAATATTCAAACTTATTCCTTTGATAAAATTTTACTGAGCATTGAAAAATCGACCCTTAGTTATGCAGATAACCTCTAAATTCTCTATTTCTTAGTAATATCGCAAAATAAAGTCTCATTCGATGTGTTGGGTAATATGTAGGCACATATTAGTTTACTGGTCACACAACCATGTCGGTTTGTTGGCACATCAGGCCTTGATGGCTTATCCAGATTCCTAAGGTAACACTTACTAGGCTGTATGTAGAGGAAGTTTGTTACAGTGATGTGATAGTGTGTCCAAACAAGATGCGTTGTGGAGATGCATTTTGTTAATATTTCCGTATGCTATTTTTATGGTATAAGCTAGTAAACGAGTGGACGTATCACATGATAGTAAGCAATCGTCGCCGCTCATGGATACCCGAAACACTAGAGGCGTTAGAAGAACCTTACCGGCCTTATGGGGATTGTTTGGGGTTTAGGGATTCGGGAGATTAGGGGGAGGGGGTTAATTGTGCCTCTGGTAACGTCAAGCATACGGCCACGAAATACAACGTAAGCGTTGGTTCACGTCAGTTTTCTGTGAGGACGTGGATCGAACCGGCCCATTCGATTATATTTAGACTGTAGGTAGGGTAGGTTTTACAGGCATATTTTTGTAATGCATTTTTATGAACTCTATACAGAGGTATGCTATATTGAGGTATACCTAAATATGTATGTATATACATATAGAATGTTCTACTGATAGTTATTTTGCGTCTCCAGAAATGATCCTTAAGAATTAGGTATAATTAAGGTTGATATTTACACTGTTTAACTCTTGTATAACAATATTACACTCTACAGACCCTCTAAAGTTTTTTAATATTACTCTAAACTTAAGAGTAGCAATCTGAGAATTTCAGACATCACTTGATATAATACCTATTACTCAGAAAAAAATATTATATGAAGATGATTTCCTTATACTGTCTCAGGGGATAGTAGCTACTTTAAATTAACTTTATCAATTAGTTTAGGAATATTTCACATTGGAACTAACTAAATATGCATACACAAATATAACCGTCTTGTATTCTAAGAATGTCTATTAAAAGTAGATATTTTACAAAAATTCGATAGTGTGAAACTGAATTTTGTTGAATAGAGAAAATTTTCAGCAGTCCTGTTTGCGTGCAGCGGTCACCATGGCAGCGGGAGCACGTGGTGCGCGGACGCACTTCCCGCGTGTCGGAGGTCGCGCAGCGTTCTATATAATGTGAACAAGTTGCCCAAGCGCACACTACCACACTCACGCGCACGCCGCCAACATCCACCCACTAAATACTGTACGTAATAAAGGATATTTAAAAACTTAACATTAAATCGATCCAATTTCCAAGGTTAAACCTTTTTTAAGCGTTGCAAGTAGTCAGTTGTGTCGCGTAGTAACTGTGGACCCACCACCGATCGTTTGGTTGCAGCGGGAGCGGTCAGTCCTGCAACTCCGAGCCCCAGTCAGTCTGCGCGTAAGCATCCGCCATTCGGACAGTGCGCGTGCGCAACAGTGATACTGTGACAGTGACAGTACCCGTTAAACCTTAGCCATCATGAACCACTACGTCAAAATCGTAAGTCACATTTATTATAATATTTTTTTAAATTAAAATGTAACGTAACCTTCTTGGTCCATAGGCGTTAAAGGTTCCATATTAAAATTGCAGGCCACTTATACAATTAAATTTAAATTAAGAACTTGACTTCTTGAGCATAAACAAACAATATGTCGGTCGAATTTTAACGAGTAGTGTTAGCAATTATTAAATAATCGGAATCATGTAATAAATTCAACAATTTTTTCGTGAATAAATGTCTGTAGATCACGATAGTTGCAGCCGTGAGTGTTGAAGTGTCAGTGATCCAGTTTTATGTAATTATGTCAAGTTCTTTAACACACGACTAAAAATTAAGATGATGAACTTGAAAAACAATGATGAAATGACCATTTGTAGTTTATGCATGTTATGTACCGGTGTAATAGTTAAAGTAATAAAGTTGTTTGTATGAATATCATTTTTATGACTTTGAAATAAAGTGGATAATAACTATTACAAGTGATATATTGTGAGTACATAATTTATTATTTACTTTTTTTACGTAGAACGATTCGTTTGTTTTTGGCTGAAAAGAAAATTAATATTATGTCCTCTTGTCGAAATAAGAATTAGTTCTATAATATCTGAAATGTTAGGATATGTTAAGATATGTATAGATAGGAATAATTAAGATGAAAAAATGTTCAGAAGTAAGTAAATGTATCGTACTAATTACACATACGCAACATACGCGGTGCGTTTCTTGGCTTACATAAGCAACGAGTTGCGTTGATAAACAATATCCGTAACTGCATTTTTAATAAAAAAAAATATAACTTCAAAATCAAGCTTTTATGTAATTATTTACGATTTATGTCCTGATTCATTCGAATGAAGATGTAAGTTTACGATATATGAAATTTATTTTTTATTCTGGTAACATTACTGACAATAACCAACAATTATGCAATATAATTACCTACACATATCTATTCTTTATTTGAAAAAAAAACTGAATCTATTTTTCAAATAATTTTATTGTCTTTATAACAATAAAATCTCATTATATCATGACAATAAGAGAAAATAATTAATATAACAAATTAATGTTTTAATAACCTAGATAAGATCGTTCGTGGTCTAGTAAAAGTACTGAATTATATTCTAAATACCTATGTTATTGAAATATAGTCTTATTGTTGTTGAGTCATTCAAGTGTCGGACTATAAAATCGGTTTACAGATTCGGACGCGGATTTCCGTAAATCATTTTGTCGCTAATTTGTTGAATTATGAATATTTTATCATATATTAGTGAATTAGTCAATCCGGATCGTTTTTAAGGTTCCGTACTAAAAGAATGTCATTGGCACTTTTTTTGTAAGATGTTCTGTACTACCTATTGTTTAATAAGGCAACTTCTTTGGATCCGAATTGGCCACTTCTTTCTTCTTAATACTTTTTTTAAAAAGAGTAACGAATGAAGTTTCTTGCTCGTTCTTCTCCATTCGAATGTACATTTTGGAATAAACACCTAGCTTCACCTAATTTCACTGACGGACTGACTGACAGACTATTATTTATTTTGTATTTGTTGACGTTTCAAAAGTAGCAAACTATGGTTTAATTGAAATAGATGCTTTTACTTTGACTTTGACTTTGGCCAGATTTGGAATACCAAATCTGACGAATTAGGTTTCAGTATTGATACTACAATTAATGATTAACACAATCAAAACTTAAGGTAAAGAAAAAGGCGATATTCAGTCCAATTAGTAGCTTAATCAAAAGAATTTAGCCTAGTTAGAATTTGTTTGAGCGGTTGACTGCTAGTTTTTTGTTTATGAAGTGTTAAATAAACAGCACTGTAAGAAACAAAATTAATTTATATCTACAATTAACAAACCACCATTTAATACGTAGTAATTTATTAACTTACAATTTACTTCGTAGCTGAGGTGTATCTTTAAATTATTTGCAACTTTATGGACTAGTACAGACGACAGACTTTAGTCTAATTGAATGAATGCAACTGGATTACAGAATAATTTTAGCCTTCTTCCAGTAGAGCTTCCAATGGGAGGTCACTACGCATGTCAGATCGCACAGAAGATTTGCTCATAGCCCTGGGGCAGATAGGAAATGTTTTTTTTATTAAAAAAAAAGAACACTGGCAGAAAATTCCCCGTCCTGTTTTACAAATAAATCAAGTTCATAGTTCAGTTTATTACAATACAGAGTAGGTTTACAATAATAGAATAGGTGTTTTTATCCAATGCAGACTAAATTTACTCTATCTGCAAAAACCTATTTGTTTACGACAGTTTCAGTTTATATAAGTTAAATTAGCTTTGCCTAAAGTTTCGTAAGTTTAGGTAAGAGTTCAGTGTTGTTAATTAACAATCATTGTCTTTTTTCTTTTTCATCTCAGTTTGTAATTGATTTGTTTGTTTCCTTATTTCAAAATTAGTAAGTAGACATCAATTGGATAATGTATATTATATTATAGACATTGGACTGCAAAATAATTAGGTATGCTTATTTGTTAGTAACATGTAAATTAGTGGTATTAATTTATATTATTAGAAGTGATCGATATACCAAGACATTCATTAATTTCTGAAGTTTTATCGAATTGAATGTCAACTGCTTTTGATGTATTATTTGAATTATTTACTAAATTGAATATTGAATAGAGATTTCATTGAAAAATTAAAACGATTACATCATATAACTTTTAATTAGTTTCCCAATTTTTTTTTTGCTTTGTCATCCTTTCATTTGCGTTGTTAAAAGCTTGAATAATGTTACCTCATTTAGATTTCGGACGTTGATAACATTTATATTAATTTTATAATGCACGTTAGCATTTGAGTGTCTAGTTAGATTCTTATGTCACTTGTTACTAAGTGTCCTATTATATGTAATTAAAGAAACGGAATCAAATGATAATGATAATCTGCATAAGCTACGGTTTATCCGACACCATCAGGAACTAATCAACTTAAATCTTCTAATCACCAAGCAAGCGAAAACTTACGAAGATTAATTAAAATGATACTCGGTACAATACACACTATTAAAATTACAAACGAAATTGAAATAGAATTATTAAACTATAATCCTAGTTTCACAATTCATACAACGCTAGCCTGGTACTACGATCTTATTTCTGTCGATCGCGCCTGATAACGGTCTATTACCATTTCAAAGCTTATGAATTGTAGGAAATAGTATCAAAGTAAACACTAAGATTATGGACCTATCCATTTTGATATTACAAGATAGATATCGCGTGAGATAAATCTATGTTTGCTTTAGTCTAGGTTTTATAGTTGTGTACATGTTTACTTAAATGGAGTTGTTTGTTTTCTTAGTCGTAATTTAGCATTAGTAGTTTTTTAAAGAATAGGCTTGAAGTTGACTTGAAAGTGATATCAAAGTATTAATAAATATTGAATATTAAATGTTTTACAATTATATAGATCGATTGAAAGATTTAACTAGAGTTATGATTTAATTAGATTTAACTCGGTAATATTTTTTTACTACGTAGGTACATTATTAACAAATTAAGTAAAATAAATGTAACAGAGGTCAAAAGGTCTATGTCAATAAGTTTAAAGTCAAGTTTAAAACTATAAAATACCTATAAAAGTTTTATATTAAACCTTGAAATACTATTAGTTCAAGAAGACGATACCTACATATGTACGATTTTACAAAATGTCTTCTAACCACAAAAATTCACTTACACATATTTTAAATACGACATATTTGCAACACTAACCTAATTGTCAAACCACAAAATCCATAAGGCAATGACATTTAGCTATACTTCCTTAAGCAAACGTTAAACCTTTTTGTTAAGTTAAATGTATTTATTTCTTACCACACCTGTCCAATTCTTTGTTAAAATAAATCTTTCATTAAACAAAATTATGATATAATCAGCCACGATTTGAAGTTTAGACTTGACAGTGATTATGACCTGTGACTGTTATAGAGAACTATTGTGCTTGCTTTGAGAGTACCTATAAGTAGATATTAGACACATTAAATTATATTTACGTAAATATTGACGTTTGTCTGGTTGAATTCGTATGTATGAAATTTATAGTCTACGACCGGCCCCGGCTACGTACGGGGGCAATATGGAATACATATAAATCGTCCTTAAAATCACTCTATCTATAAAAAAAAAATCCGCAACAAAATCCGTTGCGTTGTTCTAAATATCTAAGCATACATGAGGACAGACACACGGTGGATAGCGACTTTGTTTTATACTATGTAGTGATCACCCCTTTTATTTTATTTTTTTAATAGACTAATGAAATTATTAAAGGGATGTTGACTTCCATCAAGTGCTTTATAGACTTTGATAACTACATAAGCTGCTAAGAGCAAATAAAAATAAGAAGCTCAACGTTTAGTTTATAGAAAACGGGTAACTAAACTAAAGAAATAAACTAAACGTTTGTGAGGGTATTCGATTTTGAGTTAGTTAAAACTGACCAGTTGCGTTTTAAACTATTTGCTTTAGACCAACAGCGTTAACGTCAGTCAGTGTATAGTTGAACCATCTAATTTACATTCCATTTATCGGACCTTGGTGGAAATTGTCTTAGTAACAGCTGTTTTGGAAAACTAATGAAATATAGTGTAGGTACTTAATCTTTGAGCTGATTTTAGACTGCTTTGACTGAGTAATAGAAACAATTTTATTCTTTGCATAACTCAATGACTAATGAATCAAAATCTTATCTTCTGATCACTGAAGACAAATAGCTTTAATCATATGAATGCAAGCTAATTCGACTCTGTATCATTTTTCAACGCATGTTGAATCATTTAACCAATTTTATTGTAACGTGTGTAGTTGCATCATTACTGGCCAAGCTTCCTAGTTAAGCAATGATAGAACATCGTATTCAGACAATTAATTAATATCTAACAAGATGAATACAGATTCCATGTAACCACTCAGAAGTCGGTCAGCTATTCCAACACGTATGCATTAATCAAACAAAAGTA